TATGGTATTTAGTTTATAGAGTTGCATTAAAAAGTTACCAAACTTAATTATAAGAAAAATTATAAAAAAAATTATTTTTTTTATAAAATTTATTAACTTACTAACCCTACTTAAAATTAAACCTTCCCTATTTATAGAAAAACAAATTATTAAATTTCTTGATCTCATAATTAAATTTTGATTTTGGAGTACTCATAAAGAAAATCACTTTTCATTAAATAAATAAAAAAAGAAAAGAAAAAAAAAACGCAGTTTTCTTTGAAGTTTGAATTAATAATGGATAAGAAGATGAATAAAATAATACTAAAAGTTTAGTATATAAATGTTCGTGAACTCTATCTTCGTCTACGTAGATTCCCATTTCTCACTGTCAGAACCATTCTGCCATTTCTTTCACTTAGGCTGTGCTGCTCTCATTTTGTAAGAATCATTTTCTTCTTTTATTCTTCATCAAATGCTCTGTGGCTCTGCATTTGCATACACCCTGTTTTTACGTGCTTGAATTGCCAATTAGTAGTGTTTTCTATTGATTTTGCTGCTGTTCTTGTTGTTTTTGGACCAGATTTCGTGACTGTTCTTGTAACTCTATAATGCTCTGTTTTATCATCAGATATTGAGCAGCTTGAGTTCCATAGCCCAAAATGACGCGGTTCTTAAAACCCTCTTTGGGGTTTTGGCTTCTGCTGTGCTGCCTGGCCGTTCTTACAGATGCAACCTACCTGAAATACCAAGACCCTAAACAGCCGTTAGGTGCTAGAATCAAAGATCTTATGGATCGGATGACTTTGGAAGAGAAAATTGGGCAGATGGTTCAGATTGAACGGAAAGTTGCAACTCCGGACGTCATGAAGAACTACTTCATTGGTATTATCGCATTCAGCTCTCTAGAATTGATTCCCCTATTTGGCTGAACTAGATTGTGCGTGCTTAATGTCTACTTAGAATTGATTCCCCTGTTTGGCTGAACTAGATTGTGTGTGTGATTAATGTCTACTTCTTCAGTAAGGATTATTGTAATGGATGTATGTGTATTTGGATAGGGAGTGTACTGAGCGGAGGAGGCAGTGCACCGGCGGAGAAAGCGACGGCGGAAACTTGGGTCAATATGGTGAATGAGATCCAAAAGGGGTCTCTATCCACCCGTCTTAAGATCCCTATGATTTATGGGATCGATGCCATTCATGGTCACAATAATGCGTACAATGCCACTATCTTTCCTCATAATATTGGTCTTGGAGTTACCAGGCAAGTTAAGTAGTCTAGAAGCAGTGCATTTCCTAAGTCTTTTGTGTGTATATGATTTGATAATCTTGTATTATGCTAATGGATGTTTGAGGTTTGGGAAGGATAATCTGTTGATTTTTTGAATTGATACACCAAATTAGCAAGAAAAATCCTTGAACACGTTCCTTGACTTTAACTTGTAGCCCAAGATTTTGTTAGGAGGATTGGAGATGCTTATTTATGATGTGGTTTGCTTATGACTTAACTTTTCACATCAGGGATCCGGAACTTCTTAGGAGGATAGGAGAGGCCACAGCGCTTGAAGTGAGAGCAACTGGAATTCCTTACGTTTTTGCTCCATGTATTGCGGTAATGTAACATTTTAAATCATTTTGATCAAGGATGGTTGGGAGAGGAATCCCACCGGCTAATTAAGTGGTTGGTCATAGGTTTATAGGTAAGGAATACATCTCTATTGGCCATTGGTACGAGGACTTTTAGGGAAACCATGAACAAAGCTACGAGAGCTTGTGCTCAAAATGTACAATATCATACTATTGTAGAGAGTCGTGGTTTCTAGCACGGTGTCAGAGCCATGACCTTAACTTAGCAATTTCAATAGAGTCCTCACGTGTCGAACAAAGAAGTTGTGATCCTCGAAAGCATAGTCAAAAGTGACTCAAGTGTCGAACAAATGGTGTATTTTGTTCAAGGGCTCTAGAGAAAAGGAGTGGAGTCTCGATTAATAGGAGACTGTTTGAGGATTCCATAGACTTCAGGGGAGACTCTATAGTGTCTTTTGTTCGAGAGGAGGATTGTTGGGAGAGGAGTCTCATCGGCTAATTAAGGATTTGATTATGGGTTTATAAGTAAGAAATACATCTCCACTGGTACGAGACCTTTTGGGAAAACCAAAAGCAAAGCCATGAGAGGTTATGCTCAAAGTGGACAATATCATACCATTGTGGAGAGCCGTGATTCCTAACAAGAAGAAGATGAAATATGCTTACAATTTCTTCACCAAGTTTACTTTAGTCACAGATTTTTACTTATGGTTTTCGGGCTATGCAGGTGTGCAGAGATCCTCGATGGGGTCGATGTTACGAGAGCTATAGTGAAGATCATAAAATTGTTCAACAAATGACTGAGATCATACCTGGATTGCAAGGAGCAATTCCTGCTAATTCAAGAAAAGGGATTCCTTTTGTTGGGGGAAAGTAAGATCCCTTTTCACCGGAATTTATTTGAATATATTGCATTTACCACATACATTTTGAACTTGTTTCGCTTCAGACAAAAAGTTGCGGCCTGTGCTAAGCACTTCCTTGGAGATGGTGGCACAACCAGGGGCATCGATGAAAATAACACGGTGATTGACTATAATGGATTGCTTAGCATTCACATGCCTGCATATTATAACTCTGTAAACAAGGGAGTTGCAACAGTGATGGTCTCTTACTCGAGCTGGAACGGAGTGCGAATGCACGCCAATCGTGACCTTGTCACTGGCTTACTCAAGAACAAGCTCAAGTTCAAGGTATAGAAACAAATTAACTAACCCAAGTGAGATTCTTATATTGTAGAAGCTCAGAAACAATGTTCTTTTGTTGGTTGTCTGTAGGGTTTTGTCATATCTGATTGGCAAGGAATTGACAGGATCACCTCTCCTCCTCATGCTAATTATTCATATTCAGTTCAAGCTGGAGTTGGAGCTGGAATTGACATGGTAAGTCAATTGTCCGCTTTGATTTGGAACATGTAACGCAACCATCGTACATTTCCTATGTCTATGGAAGAAAAAGGGTTTTAATTATGTTCGACGTGCTTCAATCTTGTAACGCTTCCCCTCAGTTTAAAAACACGTCTTTTAGGGAGATGTTTCCACACCCTTATAAAGAATATTTCGTTCCCCTCTCCAACCGACGTGGGATCTCACAAAACATTTTCCTTTTTGTACGGTGATGCAGATCATGGTTCCAGAAAACTACACAGAGTTCATTGACGAACTCACTCGTCAGGTGAAAAACAATATCATACCAATGAGCAGGATCGATGATGCTGTTGAGAGGATATTAAGAATTAAATTTCTTATGGGTCTGTTCGAGAATCCGTTGGCGGATTACAGCTTAGTTAACCAACTTGGGAGAAAGGTTTGTCACTTGTTTTGTTGGAGTTAGTTGGAAAATGATATACCTGAAGTGTTTAGGCTTTGATGAACTGAACTAAATTGTTGGGGTTCAACAGGAACATAGAGAATTGGCTAGGGAGGCTGTAAGAAAATCACTTGTGTTGTTGAAGAACGGCCCCTCTGTTGATAAGCCAATGCTTCCACTTCCTAAAAAAGCTGCGAAGATATTGGTTGCAGGGACTCACGCCGACAACTTAGGCTACCAATGCGGAGGATGGACGATCACATGGCAGGGTCAGAGCGGCAATGATCTCACTGCTGGTATGCTTTCACTGTTATTTCTGAATAAGAAAGAAACCAAACAGATAATTCTTGACATGGAATTGATCTCAATACTACGTCCATATAAACAAAGTTCATCTGTGAACAGGTACCACCATCCTCAAGGCTGTGAAGAACACGATCGATCCTGCGACTCAGTTAGTGTACAACGCCAATCCAGATGCAAGCTTTGTCAAGTCAAATGAGTTCTCGTTTGCCATTGTTGTTGTCGGGGAGCCTCCGTATGCTGAAACGTCTGGCGACAGCTTGAATCTCACCATCTCTGAACCTGGTCCTAACACCATAAGAAATGTGTGCGGCAATGTCAAATGTGTCGTTGTTGTTGTCTCGGGTCGCCCTGTTGTGATGCAGCCTTATGTTGGAATAGCCAATGCCCTTGTGGCTGCTTGGCTTCCAGGAACAGAAGGCCAAGGTGTAGCTGACCTTCTGTTTGGTGACTATGGATTCACTGGGAAGCTTGCTCGTACTTGGTTCAAGACTGTTGATCAACTCCCAATGAACGTGGGTGATTCACATTATGATCCACTCTTTCCATTTGGATTTGGTTTGACAACTAAACCAAACAAGTACTAGAAAAAAACATCATCTTAGAGAACTTGAAAGGAGGACATATTTCATCTTCTTGTTACCTATACCTACCTTTCATTTGAAGGATGTGATGAGGATATGTTTACTAGGCCTCTCTTAGCCTTGTTTTAGAAGCATTTGTAATACTCTTTTTTTCTATTAATCTTAATCTCCTCCAATTCTTATAATTCTTTGTTATAACGTTACAACACATAAGTTTTAAAATGGAAATAACAATTAATATATTAAATGTAATAGTCTACCTCTAGCAGATATTGTCCGCTTTGACCCGTTACTTATTGTCCCAACCTCACGATTTTTAAACACATCTATTAAGGAGAGGTTTCTCCGACCAGTGCCTGATCTTACAATCTACCCATTTTGGAGCCCAACGTCCTCGTTGGCACAGTGGCTGGTGTTTCGATACCATTTTGTTAGAGAAAACTCTTCAAAACTGTGAGATTGAGGAGATATGTAATAGGTCAAAACGAACAATATCGGCTGATGATAAGATTATGGCACTAAAATTGTAATTTAGCCCAAAAAAGAAAAAGAAAAAGAAAAACGAGAAGAATGAGTTGGATGCTGTAAATAAAACATAACAAAAAAGGATGGACTATTTTTTTTTGGGGTGAAGAAATGCGTAGTTGTAAAAAGAAAAAAAAAAAAAAAAAAGGGAAATTGAAGAAAAATGTGGGAAAGAAAAGACTTGGTCAACTTTGAAGCCACCCATTTTGATGTGTCGCACAAAATGTTCTCGTAGCCTTTCTTTCTGTCTCTCCAATTCTGAATCCTATTCTTAGCTCTGTTTTTTGCCCCTCCGTCCGTACATCCTCTGTTTCCCTCTTTCTTCAATGCCATCAAGTGCCCTCTTTCCCTTCACCCCTTCTTCAGCCCCCTCACACCCACACAAGCACCTTCTCCTTTAATTGCCTAACCACCGCGGTCTTAATTAAAAGGGCGCGCACGCCGCCGCCGCGTGCATTACCATAAAATTTCAGAACTATGGCAAGCCCATCTCCACCGCCGGCGACCTCCACCACCTTCACCATCCTTCTCATTTTGATATCCTTTGAGGTCTTCTCATCGAAGGCTGCTTCTACAGACGCAGAAGCGCTTCTCAAGTTCAAAGGGTCTCTGGAAATGAACAATGATGTGTTGGGAAATTGGTCCGCCGGGTCCTCCCCTTGCACCGGCGACAAGGCGAACTGGGTCGGGATTCTTTGCGAGAAGGGGAATGTCTGGGGATTGAAGCTTGAGAACATGGGGCTCAAGGGTCACATTGACGTTGAGTCTCTGGAAGGGGTGCCCCAATTAAGGTCAATCAGTCTTATGAAGAATGACTTTGATGGGTCTCTGCCGGACGTCAAGAGACTCGGGGCATTGAAATCCCTGTATTTGTCAGGAAACCACTTCTCAGGGGACATTCCTGGGGATAAATTTTCAGGCATGTTGTCTTTGAAGAAAGTTTATTTGGCTCAGAACCATCTGGAGGGGCAGATTCCTTGGTCCTTGGCTGAGTTGCCACGATTGTTGGAGCTGAGGCTTGAAGCGAACCACTTTTCTGGCCAAATTCCTAATTTTGCACAGAAGACATTGAAGGTCTTTAATGTCTCCGGCAATGAACAACTTCGTGGCTCAATCCCACGAGCTTTCAGCAACTTCGATCCATCCTCCTTTAAAGGTCACAACAATAATCTTCATATATTTCTTGCCCATAACTTTCAGATTCCATTTGATGTCATATCATAAAACTGCCTATAAATGCTTCCTTTTGATGGGGATGGCTCAAGAAAATTTGAAGTTTTAGACTTATATAATAAGCTAATTCTCCCATTCCCATATGCAGGCCTTCACTGTTTATGTGGAAAACCACTTGATAAGCCATGCACCACTTCAAAAATGCCATCAATTGCGAGCATCATAATGGTTTCAATAGCTGTGACAGCGGCTCTACTTGCCATCGGAGCCGGAATAGTCATCCTTAGCCGTCGAAACCAATCGTCTTCTAATGAAGAGAATCCAGCCCACAGCAAATCTCCAAATGCTGGTGTGTCAAGTCCAGCAATCGGGTTGAGGTCACCCGATCGAGGCTCCAGTCATGGAAGCGTGGCGGGTAAACGGGCAGCCGAGAGTGCTAAGTTGTCATTTGTAAGAGATGATACAGAGAGGTTTGATTTATCAGACTTGCTTAAAGCCAATGCAGAAATCCTAGGAAGTGGATGCTTTGGATCTTCCTACAAAGCAGCCTTGACCAATGGACCTGTGATGGTTGTGAAGAGATTCAAGCAAATGAACAATGTGGACAGAGAGGAATTCCAAGAACATATGAGGAGAATTGGAAGGTTGAAACACCCCAACTTACTTCCTCTCGTCGCCTACTACTACAAAAAGGAAGAAAAACTTCTCATTACAGACTATGTTGAGAAGGGTAGCTTGGCTGTTCAACTTCACGGTATATTTATCTTTAACATCGTAACCTACCAACTTACACTTGAATTTTGTGATAACTTAACATGATGGATATCGAACAATAAGTTCTTTAGTCAGGTTCGTTCCTGTAAGGCACAAGTGAAAGAAAAGTGTTAAAAATGAGCATAATAATCCATCAACTTAAACTTTTATATGATATTAAAGAAGAAGATTACATGTTCGAACTTTTATGAAGTCCACCAAGGGAAGGTTAGTGATAAATATATCATATCATATCATATTAGTTTAGACTTTTGAGTTTAGTAGTCATCTTACAATACCGATCTAATATTTACCTGTGCTTCACAACTTGGCTGAATTGGATTCTCTTCTCCATTCCTTTTAGGGCACCAAGCCGTGGGACAACCAGCCATTGATTGGCCTTCAAGGTTGAAGATCATCAAGGGCGTTGCAAAGGGTCTTCGTCATCTCTATGCTGAACTTCCGAGTCTTATAACCCCACACGGCCATCTCAAGTCCTCAAATGTCCTTCTCAAGGCCAATTTTGAGCCCCTTCTTTCAGACTATGGCTTGATCCCGGTTGTGAACCAAGAACACGCCCAAGAGCTAATGGTGGCTTACAAATCTCCCGAGTACATTCAACTAGGTCGCATCACAAAAAAGACAGACGTGTGGAGCTTTGGGATGTTGATCTTTGAGATTCTAACTGGGAAATTCCCAGCCAACTTTCTGCGTCAGAGCAAGAGTGGCAGCGAGGAGGAAGATTTGGCAAGTTGGGTCAAATCTATTCCTGAAAAAGAATGGATCGGCCAAGTGCTTGATAAGGACATGGGGCCAACCAAGAACAGTGATGGTGAGATTACGAAGCTACTGAAGATTGCAATAGCATGTTGCGAGAACGACTTCGAGAAGAGAATGGATTTGCGAGAGGTTGTGGAGAAGATCGAGGAGTTGAAAGAAAAAGATGGGGATGAAGATTTCTATTCATCATACGCAAGTGAAGCTGATATTAGATCTTCAAGAGGGTTATCTGACGAACTCAATTTCGCCATATGAGCTGGTGCTCGATTTAAAAAGCCTATAAAGCAACAGTGAGGCCTAAATGGGAAGACTTAAATGGCATGCTAATTCTAACTGAAAGAGGAGAGGTTGAAGATGAAGATATAAAGTGGAGACAGGGCTTTCCGATGTATAGGTTCTGAAGGTAGAACGGCAAATTAATGTGTGTTTGCTTTGGCTCCACAATAGGGAAGTTGGGATGCATGATTGATAATTCTCTCCTGGGTGAAAATCTCTAAATTCTTGGGTACTGGGAATCTCAAATTGATTGTTACTATTTTTTCTAAAGAAAAATCTATTTCTAGAAAGCAGTGAAGCAAGCAGACATGCGATTAGATTACACTAGCATAGGCAGACTTGTACCACTAAAACAACTTCGCTAAACAATCCGGTTGTGCTCTCCAATTGGGAATTGGATATGAAGTAAATAAGACAGAAAGTGTACTTAATCATATACCCGGAAACAAAATTCAAATATAGCTCATATGGGTAAAGCTGAGGTTCGAATCTCTAGGCGTGAGTTGAACCAAACAAAAACTCACCTCCAACCTTGTGCATATGCAAACACCTAAACTGATGTGTGCTAAAACTCACCTCTGAACAAATATTTCTCTTGACACAATTCAATCACTAAATTAATAATGGTAGAAAATTTGGTAATAATAACACCATCAATCAAATGACGGGTTAGTCCATGCAGCTTTCATGGGAAAAAGGGAAATAAAAATTAGTCATTTAATATGAAGCAATTTTGTGGATCAAATTCTGTATAACCTACATCAACGAGACTGAGGCCATCAGGAGGCGCAGGAGGTGCAGTGGCACGTCGACATGTGGCATCCATCAGCTTTAGTAACGCATCCTCTCCAGCACCCGCAGCTGCCTCTCTAATTGCTGTTGCAACAAGCACCCGCACCATCTGCAAGGTCATGATTAGATTCCTTTATAATTGGTAGTATTCAACCGAAGACGATAATTAGTGCCATCAAAATATGAAGGAGCCTTATGGTTGTATAACATTGCTATAACTGAGGGGAAATTCCAATGCTTACGCTTAAGTTTGAGCAGTTGGTTAAAAGGTTGGATCTAAATAAGGCCAATTTTACGTTCAGTACAAAATAACCATTAGCATAATTAACCCTGGAGATGTTACCTTCCTCAAGAAGCGATTAGCAACCAGCTCAACACACATAACACTTCTTCCTACGCCTTGGTCCTGTCAATACAACACTACCACTTAGATCTCTAAATTCGGAATAGGGTTATTCAAGAGCACGTCACTAGTTTTGTTGGAGTATTAAGACATGGATAAACAAATAAGTATACATGTATGTATGATCAGAAAGGAACAGAATTTGTCTAAGGTTATCCAAATTAAGATACTGACAGAAGAGAACGCAACCCTTGTCAATAAAATTTTAATTTGCATTGAATCGAGCTCATGCTTGGACTCGTTTGCTTTGAAATAATTTTCCACAGATTCTATGTCTCCTCGACTCACACTCACTTCTCCACTAATTCATCTTCAGTTCTCTATGTTCTCAACCAGTGGAAAACACAAGGCAAAAAACAAGTTTCTACCTTTTTTTAGTGTAAGTGAGCATAGAATAATGTTTTACAGTTACAACTCCACAAAGAGATTTCAAGAAGGGGAGGAAGGAAAAAGATAATCAAAGAAAAGGAGGTCGAGAGCATGAAGGGACCACAAGTGGATACCAAGCATGGTAATCTAGCTTCCATTGCGCGGGCATGGTATACAAAACACTCCGTAGGTGGACCTCTGAAAAGGAGGAAAGTCACCATTAGTACATGTCAAAAAGATCCGAACCTCATCCTATCATTGATAAGAAAACATTTGGGAAAAGGAAAGCTACAAGCAAGCATATTAATCTCACGTTGACACAAACAAAAAGTTCTCGATTGACAAATTGTATTACTAACTTTGTTTAGTCGATCTGCAGACTAGCTATCCTGATCATATCTACACGCACATTCATCTCATGATAACACAAATAAAAAATTCTCAACTGATAAACTATATAACTAAGAGCCGGTTTGGGAGGATTTCTAAGTGCTTAAAGAAGTGTTTTAAGCACTAGGAAAGACACTCCAAACAGCCCTTAACTTAGGCTCGACTGCTTACAAATTTAACATTGCCCATCTCTCCTCCTTTCCTTATTTTTATGAGAGAACAAACCATGTTCCTTTCTATCCACAGATCCCACAAAAGAACATATAGACTGGATTCATCCATTTCATATTCCTATAAATAGCTTCTAAAAGAATACAAAAGAGTGACTAACGTAATAAGAAGGAAAACGTAGATAGGCTTTATGAGCAGAATAAGAAGGAAAGTGACAATAGCCTTTATGAGNGGGAACAATGATAATCAAACTTGACGCTAGAACAACTAAAAAAAAAAGAGGAAAAAAAACCAATAATTTATTCAATTCATGATTCTCACTCGTTTCTAGATGCTTTGGTGTCACGTGCAAACATCTTGTATGACAATAACTTTCCTTCTAGTTTCCTTAGTAGTTGGTTAACCCTCATTATACTAAATGTTTGAGGCTTATTAGCTGATGCAGGCTCCTCATCATCCTGACTGAGGACCAAATTATTCAGGATCTCATCCTTGCATTCACCATGTAAAGCTTCTATTTTATCACGATGTTCCTCTTCTCTAATGTTTTCTACATCTTCCCAAATTGCAAAATTTGGCTCCATGTTCTCTCCATCTTTCAGAGGAAAAATATACAGATATCGCCTCCATTTAGCAGAGAAGTTTGGATGGAACATACGAGACACCTACAGTAGAAAGTGATATGAGAAGTTACATGTATAATGTATCTGAAAGATAGAGACAAGAAAAATAGAAAGATAAGTTAAACCACTCAGTTCTGCAACAATATTAAAGCTAGACACCGGAGCATCACGTTCATTCCAATGACACATTTTCATAAAAAAATAAAAATAAATAAAACAAATCCTTAATATTACCTGAGAAACAGATAAGACTCTGAGTTTTCCCGGAGCTGCATTATTGATGGAACCTTCAATGTCTTGAGGTTTAACATCTGTGCGCCAAGTATCTACAAGTGATTGGAGTTTAGTCAGATATTGCATCTCTAAAATAGAACATTAATAATTAAGTGAGTGAAGTCAGAAAGAGAATCGTTTTCCCTTCCAATGGAAATTTGAAACCAATGAAGGAAAGAAATTGCTACAACTCTTTTTTCTTTTTTTCTTTTTGTGAGGAACATAGCTTCCCTCATTTCATTGAAGAGATGAAATTACAAAAGGACAAAAAATATGCCAGAGGAATCAAAAAAACATTTCCATTGGATAATGAGAGATGAAAGCCTATAATCATGGAAATGAGAGGAGAATTTACACTAAGAGAGCAAGGTAAGTAAGGTGTTTGAAAACTGAATCAAAATTAGTAGCTTTGTCCTCGAATATCCGGCGATTACGCTCCAACCAAAATAACTCAAATACTTCATATATTAATTGTGTTTTTCTAAACAATTTCACATGTATAAATTTATGTTAAAGAACTCAAACCAAAGGAAGCATGGTTCAGCTTGAATTATATTATTGGTATTGTGATGCTCACGTATTTTTAATGCCTAGCTTGAATTCTATTGTCGTTGTTGAGGTCCAGATTGGAAATAATTCAAACAAAAACTTCAATCTTCTTCACCAACTTGCCTTTCATATAGCATCAGATAAGGAACTCTGCAAATGGTAAAAAGAAATGCACTCCCAAGTCCCATGGCAGATGAGTTAATAACCGGTGATGGGTATCTTGGTCAAGTCTTCTAAGCAATATGCAACTAAAGATCGGCCTAGTTAAACTACAGTGCGCACAGTACGGCCGTTTTTTTTTTTTTTTTTAACTCTGGCTACTTTTTATGGGAAAGTTATTCCCTGGCTTAGTTCCAGTGTAGCACCTCCTACCGATTATTTAAAAAGGAAAATTTTATGAGACCTTAATCAATAAAAGAGCTATGATTACACCATGCCTGTTTTAATACTACTTACTTTCAACAATTACCAAAGATGTCAAGAAATAATATAGAAGATAAAATCTATTCTAATATAAGACTTCATTTTTTAGATGAGATAAAATCTAAGAAAAATATAACAGAGTTGTGGAATTAAATATCTAAACAAGCAAAAAAGTCATGTCAATAAAGATTAAAAACTAACATACAGAATGAGCAAACTTGTCGCAAAGCTGTCACCCCTTTGTCAGTGCGCCCAGCAACCACAGCACATCCTTCTATCGGTAAGCATCTATCTTTCAGCTGCTGAGCTTTTTTCTCATCTACAAATTTCCCAAGAGATTTTTCCACCACACTGCCAAAGGATACAAGTAGAAATAATCATATAATATACAGGAGTGCTTTCCATTTCTAGATTGCAATCAAACTATTTATGCATCAAAAGGTATTAAAATACTACTTTAAGCTATTATACTAGAAGAAGGAGATACGATAAAAGGAAAAGTGAGATTAGTAAGGTTGGTTGACCAAATTTGGACAATGAACTCAAGAGGAATGTTTCACTTGAACTGGAGGCATTGGATTTTCAATTCTATCTCTAGCACTCAATTCTCCACAAAAAAAGATTCCTCAATTGTATCTCTAGAACTATCTTCTCAAACATTATCTAAAACTTACAAATACTTAAGAATTTTTTTTTATTAAGACTTCATAATGAAAAGAACATTGCTAGCTTCAAAAGCTCCCAAATGGTATGTATATTACTTGGCATATGGTTCACATTTTCTTGATACATGCTTACCCCTGAACAGTATTCAACTCTGGCTGCTTTTGCCACCCATCAAAAGAATTTCCATGGTAGGAAAGAACAATCTTAAATGTTGCCCTTGCCCACCTCCCAGTCCCATCTTTACCCGGAGCTCTGTTTAACTCTGCAGTGTTGCAAACCGGTTGAATCTCAGTATCATCATGATCACGAACTGTCTGTGGATAAAGTACTAAAAACTATAAATAAATGATATCTTCTTGTTTTATACAGAAAGATAATTAAAGAACAAAATTTTCATCCTCATCTTTTCTAATTGTAATCAACCAATGGAATTTATAAAACAAGATTTTCTAAAAAAACATGAAGCCGATCACTAAATCAAATGTAAGAATCGATAGCAAGGATTTGATTAAAACTCATCTCTAAAACTGAGAATCCAAGAAAAAATTAGTACTAAAGCAAATCTTAAAGTAAGAACCAGAGAACCTGAACAAAAGGAAATCCAGGATTTACAAAGTCGTACAACAATTACATTATCCTCGCTCTTTTCCCTACTATTTTAGGTTGCAGGAGGAGGATTCATGATTGTTTTTAACTACTCATGGAACCGCATTGCTTGGAGTAAACGAAAGTAACTCATGCTGATACAACATTACAATGTAAGCAGCATTAGATATATAAAGCTCATTCTTAGAGTTAGCATCACAAGAGAGAGAGAGAGAGAGAGAGAGAGAGAGAGAGAGATTCACATGGTCGCAAGGGAGGGAAAAAAGATTCCTAGTTCACAATTCCATTGCTTTCATCTTAAGAAACGGAAGAGTCATAAAGAAAGAGGCAACAAGTTTGCAAATGAAAATAAGTTTATAGAAATCGTTGATATTGGACACCCACCTCAGTTCCAAGCGAGGACAGTGATAATCTTCCATTAACAGCATGAGAGTAAAAATCAAGCACTTCTTGCCACGGCCTTTCATACATGAATTGGTAGCTTTCCCTGCCAAAAGCATACAACATCTTGATTGACAACCTTCTCAGATTCAGATTGAATTACTACAAACAAAAGCGAACCTCTCGCAGATACAGAATCCGATTCGAAGTACCTCACGGAAAATTTCAAATCGATTCAAGCAATAGATAACGAAAATGTACGAAAGTAAAACCTGGAAGTCCATCGGGCATTTCTGCAACGATCAGTGTGGTTATAGTGAAGATAGTCCTTTTTCTGAGCTCGATTCTCCATCAGACACTTAATACCGAAACCGAAACCGGCACCTGATGATGATAGCAGTATAGCCCTTGGATTTGGTATCATAACCACCGCACCACCCAACCTGAGCGGACGACTGTATTTTGCAGTTGCAGCCGCCGGCGCGGCAGGGACGATATTGTAAATCCACGTAGTGCAGTCAAGTAGATGTAAGAGAGCAAGCCCATATTCGTCCAACCGGAAAAAGCCCAATATGGCCGAGCCCATCAAGGTATGCGAGCCTGAGTTAGTCGACTAGATTATGTTGCTGGATTTGGGCCGAGTATAATTTCCTTGGATAAACATAGGTCAGATGTTCAAGTTCAAATAGAATACAAACTACAAACTATCTATACCTACCTGGACCCACCAAGATTCTCTGCTTGTACACTGGTTCTTGATATTCTTGATGGGGATATTACATTTGGGGTTGTTCCAAATGGGTTTGATTTGTTTCACTCGTAATGTCGGAGGTTCATACCCTCGTACTCTGTACTCTATAGCTTATAGTAAAAAAAATTGACTACAAACTTTACCTTTTAAATGTTGTAAATATCCAAATGCTAAACTATTTGCCTTTTTTCGCTACGAAGTAATGGTCTTGAGCTATCTTATTGAATAAGAACGTTTTGAATCCGATATCAGTGGAAGAACGTTTTCCAATTCTAAGGCTTACGTTCATCGCAATAACGGTTTCAGTGTCTTGTTTCAAGTTCATAAAATGCCAAGGTGTAATGGATTTCAAAAAGAAGTACGATTTGCTGAACCACCAAGCTAATAGCTTGAAACGAAGAAATTCACGTACAAGCTCACAACACAAGCACTCAAACCAAATTCATGGGGCTAAAGCCCTTAATCCCTGCAAAAGTGAACGAATCTTGAAAATATATGATTTAGCAGGATGATTGGAAGAGAAGAGTGGTATGTTTCTTCATTATTCATTAACACCCCAAGCTTCATAGCTTTTCTGACGAACTCAACACCTATCTTCAGGTTACCATTTCTAAATGACGGGTGCAAAGAGAGAAGAAGGTTCTGGAAACCTCTCCCTAATAGACGTGTTTTAAAATCGTGAGGTTGATAGCGACATGTAACAGACTAAAACAGACAATATTACTAATAGTAAGCTTAGACTGTTACAAATGGTATTAGAGCTAGACACCGACCAATGTACTAGCAAGAACGTTGGGCCCCCAAAGGAGTGGGATTATGAGATCCCGAGTTCTAAAACTATGAGGCTGATGACGATACACAACGGCCCAAAGCAGACAATATTTGTAACGATGGGCTTAAACTCTCCAAAAGCAAAAGCCTCCAAAGATCGAGCTAAATGGAAACTACCGTGAGAACAACATCAAGTATCAACATTGGGTTGAGATTGATGCAAAGAAACTTTGAACAAATTACTTGGAAAGTAATATGACTCTTATATTAGCTATAGAAAGTCAATACAAATAAATTGAAACAAGTAAGAAGAACAGAATGAAACACACATAGCATTCGCCAGTACTCAAATTATGGACAGGACAGCCAAACTAGCCAACAATAGATGGACCCAAAATCCAGTGGAAATGTCAGAAGCCAAGTTGAGTCAAGAATCACTAAAATCATTCTCAATCTTTCGGATTGAGCATCAATAACTAAACCGGGCCGTAGTGCCCGGTTTGTCTTTCTTTCTGATTGATGAACAGGAAGGAAAAGATCACTATTGGATTGTGACTTGCCCCCGGCTACGTGTCCTTTCTTTGGACCCTTCGCCCGCCACCAGTGGAAGCAAGCTAGCCTCCTATGTTGGTTGCCCCTTTCCCCTTTGAATAATAATAAGAAGGTCAAGAGGAGGCCCCTTAAGATAGCTTCTTCTATTATCTCATTCGAAAAGCAACCTTTCGAGCTTAAGCTGACTTACTAAGCAAACATAGGCTTGGGCTCGAAAGCAAGGGATGTTGCAACTGCAATTCACACAAGTGAAGGACTTTGAATACAACACACCATCAGCAAGAAGAACAACCGATACGCATGCCAAACTCCAATGAACAAAGAATACAAAGCTACCGAGGCCACAGAAATGTTTCTGTTATGAATCAAAGCCGGAACCAACACATACAGGACAGTGTATCTAACAGAAAAAATGATAGCAACTCAACATAGGCTAGGTCAGATACCACAAGATGCTAAGAACATGAACACTACTAACAGAAGTCTCACACTCACGTCAAAGAGATATTAGACATTTTGGTTAAAACTTATTCATGATCAGATTTTGAAGGAAACATTTTACATACTACAACATGAGGAAGGATAATAGAATCAAGTCATACAAGGGTGAGTATAAAACTTTTATCAGTTACCATTGAGAAAGAAGGTAGGAACAATATACAGCACAAAAAGGGCCTTTTGATAATACAGCATGTCACCCAATTTCCACCAGTCATGAAGGATCTGAAAATAAAGTCTAAAACAGTTGAATTCGAAACTTCGGGGGAAAAAGTGCATCAAGAGTTATAATATTTCAGAAGAAATGCAAAATAGATCGAAAATTTCGTTCAAATTACAAATCTTTCATAGTTTCAAAGCATGCCAAGCAGAGCAGCACAATATTATACCCAAAACTAACAAAATTTAATATGCTAACTAAACCTATCCACCACCACCCCCAAAAAAAAGAAAAAAAAACAAATCCACATAAAACAGAAACCCAAGTCGTGAATCGCCGAAAAGGCACCGATCCATCAGAAAAAGCGCCAAATCTTGGAGAAACGTATCGCAACAAATCAGATCAGACGGGGCTGAGAAGTTGGGAGAGCTGAGGCTTTGGCTCAGAGTTCATGCCGATGATGATGACCAGAGGAATGAAGCCATAGTGGGTGATGACCTTGGCTTTCTTCACGGCCCAAGTGGTCCATTCCTTGAAGGCTTGGGTTGCGGATTTCCCCTCAGATGACTTGGAAGAGCCCTTTGTGCTCTTGCCCTTGCTTTTAAGAGAAACATTCGACGCCATTGCTACCAGAATTCGATCTTCGGTGAATGCTGATGATACCTTCTTCTTGTTCTTGTTTTGATGCGCGCCTGCAGTGCCTTTAAACCCTAATTACACCATACACGTGGACCGGTCTGGCTCGTACGTCATTACCGGCTATAGCCAGTTCAAGCCACATTTAATTAGTCTATTCAACATTAATACAATTATTTGTTAGTATGAATTCATTGCAAATTTTATTAGGTGATCGATACTGTTTGCAGTCGAGTTCAACTTTAAAAATTAAAATAGAGAAAAATATACGTTTTTTTTTTTACAATAATAGAAACTTCTCGACTTAAAACTTTAATTATTTTATTTAACATTAAAACATTATAATAGTATCAGAACACATTTAATTATTTTATTTAACATTAATATAATAGTTCAGTCATAGTATTAAAACACGCTTAACTATAGCTAGAATATATAAGGAAGAATTCTTATTTAAACGAAGAATGGAAGAGGAAGTGGAAAGAATTTTTTTTTGTTAGATAAACAATGCCCGATATTGTATTTCCATCCCTGTCCCCGCATCAACTCTGTTGATTTTTTTTTTGAAAGATAATATTAAAATTTGATATTTTTTAAAATCATGTTGGTAAAAAAAAAGTTGTATTATATTTTTGTTTATGAACCTTACATTAGATTTTTATTTTCGTTCTTTAATAAAATTTATATTTTAAAATAAGAATTATGCATCAGAAAAGTTTATTTGAAACTTTAAAGATAAAATAAAAACATGGAGAAAAATTCTCCATAGAAAACCGGCAGGTTCTCCGCTTCTTAATCTTGTCCCATAGACATCTCTAGTCAAATCATGGAAGTGTATATCATTCAACTTTAATACAATCAGAACCGAGCATAACTCAACTAGAGATCACTATGACTAACCACTACCACTACCACTACGACTAACGAAAGTAGGACTAGAATGTGCCATAACATTTCCAATTTATATTGGAGCCTCCACCTTGACATCTCCAATTTTCTGAGGAGAAAGAAGCATTTTAGGGAACAATGATGGTCCCTAAGCCAATAACAACCACCAAACAATGCCTTCATACATTAATATAACATAGTATTGGAAACAAATTAGAGAGCCCGTCAATCGATAGCCCTGGTATATCGACACACAACATCCTCATTTCTAATCACTAATCTGCCTCTACCTCACTACCTCACCATTAAAACTTGCAAGACGTGAGATCCCACATTGATTGGAAAAGGGGACGAGTGTCGGCAAGAATGCTAGACCCCAAAGCATTTGGATTTTTGAGATCCCACATCGGCTGGAGAGGGAATCGAACCATTCTTTACAAAGGTGTGGAAACCTGTTCTAAAAATCCTAAGAGGAAGTTTGGAAGGGAAAGTCCAAAGAGGACAAATTTGCTAGCGGCGGTGAGCTCGGTTACACAAAACTTGTGTTTCTAGAGTTAGCAAGGAAAGGGTAACACCCTATTTCCTAAACAGAAGAAATTACCAACAATTTACCACCAGCCATCTTATGTAAATTTATAACCAATTATCACAATGAAACTCTGGCATTCCTGAGCCACATGATAATCCAAGCACCCCGTGTTCAGAAAAAGGACGAAGACAAGGAAAAATGCATAACACATTTGGAAGGCATGATCTTCAACAAAAAATACTCAGCGTTCACGAAATGACATGAAATACAGTGTAATTGCATAGCATAAAGCTGAAATATTGTCCCAGAATCCAAATTGGTCGGTTCAGTGTTCTCACATAGATAAGAAAGGTTTGATTACACCAAGGAATTATTATTGCAGTCCCAAGTACGGTTCTCAAAAGAACTTCCTGTAAGGTCTGCCGGCATCCTCATCTTGCATATGCTGTCATCATAATGTTAGAGACCAAGTTATGTTTTAGAAGAAAGATCGAAAAAGAGTCTGCGGCGACTTGAAAATTACAGACAATCAGCACTTCAATAATGAGAACGAAAACTTACATAAATGAAGAACGCAAAACAAGAACTATATGCACATTTTAAAGGAAAATAAGCGAAGATTGGAAAAACCACAGATGAACACAGTTACAAGACGGGAGGTAAGACCACAAACATTCACAAAACAGTATGTCTGCTGAATATCTCCGAAGCAAAAAACATGTTATAGTAGCAATTTTTCCCCGCTAAACAGTAAAGCAAATATCATCATGCGTGATCGTGATCCTCCAAGAACACAAAAAGAACCATATTGTAAGATCCCCTAGAAATCTGACGCACTGTGATTAAAAATAGATGGTAACAGTAAAATCTTAATTTTTGTTGTAGTTCCTCTACACATCTCAACAAAAAAATATATGAACAACATTTTTTTAGTACATCAAATGTGGGGATGGAGTCAGGATTCAAACCTAGAACAAAGGGAACATGAAATTTCCAACTCTATGAACAAAGGAATGACATCAAAGGAAATAGACAATCGGAAAATCATCAATTCACTTATTAACTTTTAAACAACCAAGCTGAAAGGAAATCCAGAGTCGCAAAATCGGAAGAAATGGAAACCCTAGGAAAGAACAATTCACCGGATTGAAACGCGCGATGTTGGTGGGCGTCAACAGATCAAAAAGGTATCAAAAAATAAATTGAACCACATACCAAAGCAAGAAAAAGGAACATAAAAGAGAAAAGAAAGAAACGATCTTACGAATTCCCTGACGATCCCCTTGTAAACGAGGAGGGGGATGGCGATGCCGAAGATACCCACAAGAGCAAAGTTACGGCGAGTCCAACGGAAGTTATGCTCAAGATTTTCTCTAGCAGAACCCCAATCCTCGATAAATCTGTTCTTCTGAGCTTCCATTCCTCCGCCCATTGTTGCTGTGTTCGAATTTCTTCCCTACTCTCTCTTCCTTCGCTTTGCCAGTCGACTAATTTTCACCACGCTCTTCGAACCAAAAACATATATATAGTATGCTGTAACATTAAGTTATTAATTTAATTTATATTATCAAATAAAAAGTTTATAATAAGGTTTGAATCTTTTTAAGTCAATTTGAGCATATAAATAGGTGACACAATATTAAAACTTCCAAACTTCTATTGGAAACTTATTTAATATACATTTGTTAGCTTCAGAATAAATATTTATATGTGATTATTTCTTAAAGAAAATTCAAAAATTTTATACACAAACTACCACGAAAAAATATGTAATAATTAGTTTTAAAAAAATGTTGCTTCAATATTATAGTATAAAGATATATCATCGTCTAGAAGATTAAAAATTCGAATCTCCTATCTCCCGTGCTTTTAAATTAATCTTTTTTTACCATTTTTTTTCAGTTCAATATAGAAAATAGAAAAGTTCAAACCTCGAAACATATGCTTCCACCTACCAATTAAAAAATGCGCCAGTTAACCCATCCACATATATATATATATATATATATATATATATTCATGAAAATATTAATGAAAAATTAGAGTATATTTTCTAGTAATAGGCTATAAATTTAAGTATAATACAGAAGCCCTTTCATTAGTTTCAACACTCGCACTGATCATAAGCAGTGAAATCTTCTGTAAGAAAAATGGAGATTTTGCTTCAAAAATAGAGTCGACTTAAGTTTAGAGGGGATGGGAAAGTGGGAATGGCTCACATCAAATACTTCTGACACTTTCCCTCAAAACTGATTTTGTGCAGTGAACTCCAGACTTTGGCACACCAGATATGAATCAAGCTGATGAAAGCCATTACAAGTCCCTTTCTGATTGAATGCTTCGAAGAGATTAAGACCAGCCATTACACGGTGGCTACTCATACTGTAAAATGATCTGACAAGGTATTGCAAAAAAAAACTTGATAAGAACTCAAGAGAGCACAGAATGAGATTGCAATCTTGTCTTCACTTCATCTAAGCAAGCTTCAAGATCCAAATATTCTTGGGTGTCTGAGAAGTTAACAGCCTGAAAATGAAGCACTGTAAGTTCATATCTATAGGAGTAGTGGCCAATTAGCATGAGGTGTGTTTTCATGAGAAATGGCACTATGTCAAGTACTTCCTGCATACATCAATGGAAAAGGTGATGTATCTTAATAAACTAAATAATCTTGCCTGTTTTACTGTGTTCTTGAGGTGCATCTCGGCTGCATATAGTTCTCGCTGACTACTCGTAGTGGCTGATATATGCATGTAAACCCTGCATAGTTCCAATGACGCTTGTGCAAACTTAACGAACCTATCCTTATCTTTCCAAAGATCAGAACCCTGAAAAGGTCGAGCACGATTAGTTGATTCAAATGATACTTTCTGAACATATGTATTTGGAACCACCTCAACATCACAAGGACTCCTAAAGCCAATATGAAAAGTTAGATGGTTATATGTAAGAAATGTATGCACAAATGAAGGAAGAAAGGAAGTTCAAGCGCTCGGTATTACTAAGATTTCTTCTAAATTGTAGATTAAGTATCAGGTGACATCACACAAAGCAGACGAATTTAGAATAAGCGATGTACCTGAGATGCCTCCCAGATTAAAGAAAACAACCTAACTTGCACATATAGATACTTCGGTTCCTAAGGATACGTATACATGACAACACAGAACAATGGTCTTTTGACAAAGTGACGAAGATGTTAACTCGATAGCTTTCCACAAACCACACTGAATGGTGTACAAATTGTGTGGTTAATGCACAAAACAATATCAAGTTGTAGAAAAAATGGGCAATACGAAAATTATCTCATTCAAGACAACCAAGGAAAAAGATGGTTACAAGAGGGGGTGTAGAAATTCCTTTTGTCCATAAGAAACAATAATTTGGAATAATTTGGAATCAATGCTTACTCCGCATAATTAGAAAAGGAATATGAGATCAATTAATAAATACAGTCGGAAGTTAGTTGACGAGATAAACAGGAGTTGTGAGAATCCATCTGTTTGACATTCGCCATTGTAAATTCCAAGCTTAATCCCATACCTGATATGATCTGACTTGCTTTAGAAGGGCCTCCGAGCACATTGTGTAGTCTCCTTTAATTTTGTGCCACCTTGCATAA